TTAGCATAGTATTTGTCTATTGTATCTTTGGAGCATCATTACTATGAGCATCATTACTATGCTTAAACCTAATAGACTGTTTAATAGGAGTTTCATAACTCCTGGGGTTTTTGGGTTTTCTGACAGTCTAAAATGGTTACGCAACACTGGAAAATTTTCATAGGTTCGTCTGAGGTAAATGTTGGAACTTTTGTTCCAGCTTTTCCCGTAATAATTTGTTGCATGGCAGCAATGTTTTTGCAGTATTCTGTGCAGTGACCTGATTAGTCCAGCATAGACAGAAGATTGAGGGGAAATTGTGGTGGAAAGCAATAATTTCTATTCGTTTTTTAAGTGCACAAGAGACCTTACTAGGTATGGAGAGAACAAAGAAAAGTACTTTTTGTCATCTTGTCAACTTGATTCAAGAGCAAACATAAAATAGTTCAAGTGTTTTCCATGATATATGAATTTTACACAACTCTATGCTAGGGTTACATTTGAGATGCTATTATGGACATCATGTAGAATTGGTAGCTTCTGATATGACAAGGTCAATTTTTATTTAAGAGTTTACAACTGGTTTTATAGATTTCACCTACTAAGGAATGCAAACCTTTGTTAGATACTATGATTTTAAGGCTGTCCTGAACAATGTCTAGCAATAAATTAAAATGAGAGGAAAATAAGGGAGAAGCTTAAGACCTTATCAGTCTTGAAACACCTTTTAAATAAAGATGGTATGTAAAGAAGTTTTAAACAGTTGATTTTTTTTTCTCTGCAATTGAAAGTTATCAACACAAGGGTTAATAGTCAGGAGTTATCTTTGTGTCTGACAATAAACGGTTCTTGATTGATTTAAAAGACATTTATTCACTGGAGGAGAACTCAGACACCTTCTTTAGTGTCCTAGGCCCTATCTGGTCTTTGCAGCATATCCTTCTTGCTTGGTGCCTCATTCTTTAACATGTCAGCAAGCTGCGATACCCCTCTAAGGCACCAGCTCTCCCTGTGCAGCATGTGTTCTTTGCTGCAGAATGACACAGACTAAGTGGGAGTGTTGAAAGAGCAGAAGTTTTGATAGAGAGTGCATTTTCTCAAAAAATGAGATATTGAATCTCAAAAAATTGAATACCCGCTTTTAAAGCAGATAATCTATGGAACTTGTTTTTCTAATAAAGCAAAGGTGATATTGCATTTTCTCACATTGGGATCTCTTCCATTTTTCACAGGTTCTCAGACTGAGTATTAAGGGGCATTGGACCTCAAGTGGATAGAAGCACCCAAAACCTCTACAGTTAAACCCCAATTCTAAGCAGTTCCTCTGAGGAATCTCTAGGCAGTTCCTCACCAGTGAGCTGATGTTCTAAGACATGATTCAGAGACACCCAACTCTGCAAATGGACTAAATATGTACTTAACTTATTCAGTATTTCATTCTATGTGCCTACCTCAGAAGCCTTTTGGGCATGTTGCACAGGTGTTTATGAAGCTCTGGGCATAATTAGGTCATTTTAGAAGGATTAGGAGCTAAGCTCAACAGCATTTATAGAACAGAGATCATAGAATGGCTTGGGTGGAAGGGACTTTAAAGGTCATCTAATTCCAACCCTCCTTCCATGGGCAGAGACAACTTTCACTAGACCAGGTTGCTCAGAGCGCCATTTAACCTGGTCTTGAACACTTCCAGGGATGGGGCATCCACAGCTTCTCTAGGCAACCTGTTCCTCATTGCCTTCACAGTAAATAATTTCTTCCTTATATCTAACGTAAATGTACTCCCTTTCAGTTTGAAGTTATTCCACCTTGTCCTATCTCTTCATGCCCTTGTAAATAATCTCTCTCCATCTTTCTTGTACTCCCCTTCAGGTACAGGAAGGCCACAATTAGGAGATCCCAAAGCCTTCTCTTTTCCAGGCTGAACAATCCCAATTCTCTTAGCGTTTCCTCATAGGAGAGGTGATCTGTCCCTCTAATCATCTTGATGGCCTCCTCTGGACTCAGTCTTAAAATCTGTAGCTTGAATTTCCCATAAATCAGTAGTCATGAACCTTGACACTCTTGAGACTTCTTATTCTTGTTTATAAAGGAACTTGTAATGTTGCTACTTCATTTTTGCAATTCCATCTCACTTGAACAAGAACTTATGACTTTGGCTACCAGTTGTTGTCTAGATTCACATCTAACCTTTGACTATTTTATGCACTCTTTATGCTAGCAAGAGATTTGTAACAAACCTACACCAGAGCTTAATTCAACATATTCTAAAGCATTTTTCAGATATAGAGACTACGCTCTATTTTGTTAGTATTATGCAAATCTACTGCCTATAAATATTCTTAGCTACTAAATCTATCAGGAAGAGTAGAGGTCTATAACTGACTTTATTTTCCTCATTGAAATTTTTAAAATATCTGCTGAAATGTTCAGAAATATTTAAGGATTTTGAGATATTCAGAGGCATTTATTTCTCTATTTTAGTTATGGACACTAATCAAAGTAAGAAATGTGGAGTCAGATGATCTGAAAAAAGAAAACTTGTTTTCCTGTATTTCTAGAGAGCTATGGAGGCACAAGTGAAAAACAAACAAACAAACAAAAGGAAAACCAAACCAAAAGTAGTGATAATAAAATTTGGAAGAATTCTCAGATCTGAAAAATATCCAGAATATCCTCAAATGTTTTAAGTGCTCAATGACCTATTATCATTGTATAATACATTGAAGAAAATAATTTTACCTATAAAGTAATGTACCAGTATTTTTGAAAGGCCTTGAATATAAAAGTTCCGTTGTAAGAGTAGATATCAAACATGCAAAGTTAAAGGAGCTTCAATACACATTTGAGTATCCTCCATCAATCTAACAATTACCTTCCTCTAACATTATGAGATTTGAATAGTGCTGGTACTGCTGCAATGTTGCAATAGCTCTTATTTCACTACCAGGACTGCAATTTTCTCTGACTATGCACTGGTTCAATTAGATCTCCACTGCATATAATGACAGCCTCGACACAACTGAGAGGCATCAGGAAAACGAACTGTAGCGACCAAATCCTGTGATAGTTGAACTACAATTTACTGGCTGTAAATTGTAGTATGCAGCATTCGGAATTAGAGTTAGCTACTGAGGGAGTATTATGCTTTGTGAAATCTGAATGAAGAAGCAATCAGACATATTTTAAAATAGAAAGTCACAAAGTTAGGTTTTGCAAGGAACAAAATCCTGCAGAAAACAAAATTTTGTTTCCTTGTAAAACTAAAATGAAGCAACCCCACCATGTTTCAGCCACACTTCTGAGACAGACAACTGGTAACACACCAAGAGGGGCCGTGGTCCATGGGGGATAAGCCTTAAAGGAACTGCGGTCTCTGGAGGACCCTTGCCAGAGCAGTGGAAACAAGGTTGTGTGGGTTCTTGGCTGCCAGCCAGAAACAACCCACCAAGTAAATCTTACATTTATGAATATTGGTATGCTTTCTTCTCTTAAGCAATTTTCTGGTTAATTATGTTCTTTCTATTTATAAGAGTCAATATGAAGTACTCTCATTCTTTAAAAAAATCCATGACTGCTATATCAAAAAGGTTAAAAACAAGTCCATTAAAGACATTCATACTTTCCTCAACCCTGTTTTCTTCTTCACAGTTAACTTACGAGTTCAATTTGGAACTGCTTAAACTTCCTATTTAATTTTACTGCCGTCACTGGACAAGTAAATCCCACCCCACAAAAAGCAAAAGACAAAAAAAAAAGATGAATTGGAGAATTAAATTCGAGTCCTGTTACCAAAAAAAAAAAAGTTACAATTTTAAACAAAAAAACATGTACACTGAAATTATCCACCTGATTACCAAATAAAGGCACCATGATAATGTAGGACTAGTGGGATGATTATGACTGTAAAAGTAATAGGTTGATGGATTCATGTTCCACTGAAGAGTTTTTGGAAATGCTCGGAGCCAAAGAATAAGTCCAAGTGTTTCTTGTCTATTTTTCTGTCCAATGAGGTGCCTGGCTATAATAGTAATGAAAAGTATTTTTAAATGGGGGAAAAGAAATGCAATGTAAAATGTAACCTATGACTTCTGGTCATTTTAATTGCATACCTTTTAAATAGTAGCATATTTTTTACTTAACTAAACTAAGACTCTTCATACAATTTAAAATAGCAGGGGAATGCTATGGTATTCTGGAGGTGTTTCTGTCTTTTTCTCTTTTTGCAATGTCAATCATTCTGCTCTTGATATCATATATATGTAACAATCTGAGTCAGAGAAATTCAATTTTTGGAGAAAGAGTTGCTCCCTCAGTGTTATTCTTTTCTCTCAACCAGAACAGCCCTTCTCTTTTCCTATGAAGTTCAATATTTATTAGAAAACTGTGGGAATGAAAAAGGCCAAATGTCCTGTAAAAATGTATTTATGCAGACGAAAGAACATCAGACTAATATTTCTGAACTTAAACTGGCAGCTTGGTGCTTAATGAGACAACTGTGCTCAAAGATTTTCTCTAATTCACCATTCAGGCTTTGAAGAAAGTTTTCTGGGTTAGATCCAAAAAAAGGACCTGAAGTAGGGCTTGATGAGATTTAACAATGGAGTCTAAAGCAGCAACTGAAAACCCCCCAGCTGGGGGCTGCTGTGTAGCCTCTGCAGGTTTTGAGTACGTCACCATATTTCATGTTATCTGTCACGAAATCCCATTCCCTATTCAGCAGAGGGGTACTGTTTTCCCTAGTCTCCCTTTTGCTATTTATGTACCCTTTCTTGTTGGCTTTGCTAGATTCAACTCCAGGAAAGCCAGCTCTTGGTTTCCCTAACCGTATCCCAACAAGACTGGACAGCCACTATATGGGTCACCTGCCTCTGTGTTCAAATCAGATATACTGTTTTACCTACATTCAGTTAAAAGACTATTACTCTTCCATGCAGTCCATATGCTGTCTTTATTTCCTGCTTGTCAGTACAACTCTTTCTTGAGCTTTGGAGGAAGTGATACTCGAATATCGATCAGCTCTCCTGAACTCCTCTTCTCTCTCAGACTATATCCCATGGGATTCTCCCAAGCAGGTCTGTGAAGGGACCAAAATCTGCTCTCCAGAAAATCAGGATTGCAGACCTGCCACTTGCCCTACTCCCTCCTTTTAGGATCTTGAGCATCAGCACTGCAATCTCTGGCTTTCACATGCCAACAAGTTCTTCCTTGTTTGTAAGAATCAGGTCCAGGACAGATACTTTTCTTCATGTGCTAGGAATGAAAATAGGCAACAACAGCTTGACCTATTTGTTGCTATTCTTTTCTAGGAAACAGCAATATCCATCTGTTGCCGAATGACCTATTACTTTGAGCATCTGGATTGAATGTTCTTCTTAGTCTGGGAGTTTTCAAAGAACTCATTCAACCTAACCAGTTATGTACCTAACTTCTAAACTATTTTTTAAAAGTATATCATCATGATATAATTTCTTTCTCTTTCTTTTGAAAGAGCAAACTTTATTCCAGTCTTGGAAATGTTAGCTTCTATCCCACAGAAAGGACTAGTCTCAGGAGGGGACCAGTCAAGGAATATTTATAAACTCATACTCTAATTTATACCCATTTACATATTTAATTAGCCTCTGAAATTTCCTATTGAACATCTTTCTTCCCCTGTATCAACTCTGGACCTAATACAATGATCAGTCTTAAACAGGCAGTCAGCAAATTAAATGTCATTAACTAACACTACTGTGGAAATTAAAGCTAAGATAAAATTTATTTTAAAATGTAATGGAGTTAAAAACTAGATGCATAGGACTTTTTTCTTGAAAAGAATAAGGCAAACAAGCTTTGCCAGGTTTGGAAAGAGTGCTTGTCATTTATCTGTATCTGAACCAGTCACCAAACATGCTTAACACACAATAGAGGTACATCAATTTTTAAGGTGTGATTCATCTGACCTAGTTTGGGAATCTACATTAAGCAGTCGTGAGTTGCATTCTAGAAATGCTTGTTTCTCTCCATTGGCTATGAAGGGAATATACACTGTGGTCTCAGGCACAGACAGACATGTGTTGCAGATGCCTGCTTCAGATCAGATGAATCCCATGCCGGATGTAGGAATGACGTATTTTCAGCAAGTCAAGCAATTCCTAAAATAACTAGAGAATGTAAACTACAGCCTTGTGCTGCTATGATCTAATGAAGACTGGTTAGCTTTGATGATACTCAGAGCTTCTACTGTCCAAAGTAAAGTGGAATAAACAGATAAAGGAAACATAAAAATAGGAGTTATTTCTTAGGTCTCCATGGAAGATGGATATAAACAAGGGCAGTTGTTTTTTCAGATTGTCCTACCTGTCTGTGTAGGAAGAACAGAGGTAGTTCAAAGAAAACCACTTAAATGATCTGGTGAATTTGTTTTCCTGGAAGAGTCCAAATAAAATTGAGTGTAAAATGACCACTTTTAAGTAGCCATAATAGTTTAATAAATGTCATAAAACCAGCACTTTATCACATCCTTTAGTAATTAGAGGAAAAATCCAGGAACATGTAAAACAATTTATTTAATTTTATTATTCCTGCCAGCCCCTTCCATACCAAAAATATACTCCATGGGAATTTCCAAATTGTGTAAATGACAGAGATGGAAATAATACAAGAAATTAATTAGTCTTGGTTATATTAGGAATACTGAAGGCAAATAGGGCCTCAAAACTGCCTCACTCTCAGTTCATCCCTTTTCTATTATTTTCCTTTTTCAGGCATTTTAATATCCAAGCACTTCATTATGTAAGTATTTGTTATTCTTCCCTGTCATTCCTACAGCACTTGGCAGGCTGTAAACCTGTATGACTTCATAGACAAGGCAGCTTTGTGATGTTAGCAACAGCTCACTCCAATTTTTCCCTGTGTCTGTAATGTTTTTCCAAGCTTTCCTAGAATACATAATGAGAGGTTAAGAATACTTATATTTCAATGAAAGATTGTATTCCAATGGAAAAGTGTTTGGTTTGGGGGGGGTTGTTTGGTTTTGGTTTTGTTTGTTTGTTTTTATTTTTGTTTGTTTTGTTTGGTTTTTTGTTGTTTTGTTGTTGTTGTTCTTTTGGGGGGGGCTGGAGGGGCTGGATTTTGGTGTTCTTTTTTTTTCTGGAGAAACACTCAATGCCATTTCCAGTGACATTGCTGTTATAGAAGAACCTAAACTGGAACACTCAGTACCCCAAATGGAGTGTAAGAAATTTTTATAGTGGCCACTGAATGCTTGAAAAGTAATCTCAAATGACAGTTCAGAATCACTACTACTACAAACCACTGCAAGTCATAGCAAATTTTCAGTTAAATAATCAATGTCTTCCTTATTACACTGTCTGCACTTCTGTTATTAAACTATATTTTACAGACATGTAGAGAAAGTATACAAAATCACAGCTGGTATAATGCCACCAAGCTGACTGATTTGCGGTAAGAATAACATTTTTGGTGGAATGGGTCAACAATACCATGGGGAAAAATTGAATCAGAGACAAAGATAAAAATGGTTTTAGAGGCTGCATTTTAAAGCCAGCATCACAACTTCTTTCCATTGCATGGTTATATCAAGCCTTTTTTTTTTTTCACTCTTTGTATTGAACACCATACCAAGCTGTTGACCTAAAACCTTAACAAATGAATTATAAACACTGCATGAGTACATGAAAAAAAGAAATTCTGTACCTTCAGTCATCTAACCACTTGGGAAAATATGTTGCAATTTTTTAAAGACTAGTATTACTGCTTAATTGCATTTAATTTATATTTCCTTGGGATCTTTTTTCTTATAAATAGTTAAAGTTGTTAATCATGTTGTGTCAGAGTTTTCTTTATTATAAATGAAATTATAGCAGATCAAGTGTTCAGAATACTTTGAACCTTGGACTTAGATCATAATCACTAGTCTGTTTCATAGTAAAATTTAAATTTACTCTAACTATTTGCTGCAATATTTCTAAAGAAGACTATCAAATTTTCAGTGGCAGTTGGTGGCTTGTTTGGGTTTTTTTTCCCAATATTAATTTTGTCTAAGGTGTGCAAATTCCTAAAATTCTTTCAAGGAACAACCCAGGACAGAGGTTAAACATTACCTTCTCATTTCTTCATATTTCACCAGTTAAGTACAATAGTTCCACATGCATATATTCTACAGCTATCACGTAAATATCATAAAAAGATCTTGGGAACACAGAGAGTTAAATATGCACATTCATAGTAAAGGACCTACAGCAGCACTGAGAGGAAAAAGAATGGCTTGTTAATATCCTTTATTTATACTGGGCATGGATGGAAGGATTTCTGGGACTCATTCTCTTCACTTACACTCATGCCTTGTGGACTGTGAGGTAATGTCCTCTGTGAAGTAAATGAAAAGTACTTCATTTACTGGACTGTGGAAAAAAAATATCTGCTTTGAAAAAGTGTCTGGTAGTCTGTTGTCTCAGCACTACTGCTTCCCATCTTCTTAGATTCTGTGAGCACATTCATTCACAAACAAGAAAACTTTTTGCTTTCCACTTGCTCCTCCCTGCTGCCCATCTATATTCTGTTTCTTTCCCTCGACAAAGCATTCATCCTTCCTTCTCCTGCCAATGCACTGAAGATGGCAGAAGGCATATATTATAGAGTATATATTATATATTGTTTCATGTATGTTTCACATATACGTGCCTTTTAATCATAACGGTATACATTCAATCTTAATCATATGTATATGTGCACAAGGAAATACACACACACAGTGACATAATCATTTTATAATTTGCACATTTTTTATCAGTTGAATGTGAAAAGCTGGTGCCCTGTTGTTTTGGGATTTTTTAAATCTCTTTTTTATTGCTGTTATCCGATGAAGACTATAATAGTATGTGAATATTGCTTAGAAAAAAATTGGAAACTATATTTGTGAATAAAAGATAATAAATTCTGTCATAAAATACCTGTGTAAAGAGAAAAGTAGAATCTTTCTTGCAAAAGACTAGTAAACACAAGCACAGTACTCTAGAACTTGAGCTATTTAATAACTGTGTACACCTAGCGGTGAGATAACACATTCCTTAAAAAAATAGCAAGTAGATTCAACAGGCACATTTAGCTGAGGATAAAAGGCCCTATGGGCTGTTGTGCAGTCTCTTACTTCTTTCATGTGATTGCCAAGTCACACTGTAGTTACGGCTAGTAATTTCATTCCTAATCACTCTCACCATTTGTTAATTTTTTGCCATATTGTAAACATACTAACACATAGATTGTGTCTTCATAGATATTAAAAATAAACGGAAGTAATTTCATTTATCAATTCTTGATCCAAAAAGTCTAATCATAAGTGTTTGCTATGTTTCTTTTCCTGAGGGTTGCCTGCAATACAAGTGTTAATTTATCAAGGGTTGATCTCAGCTGAAAAGAAAGGAAAGGGAAAAAAGAGGCCTTTTTTCAGAGAAAATCTGCATGACAATGCAAAAAATAAATATATTTTCCTATGTAATTCAAAGAATGAACATCCATTACCAGCAATATTTTGGTTCCAAATAACATCCAAATCAGAGAAGAAAAATAGATTTATTCTATAGGCAGACTATATCAAAGTTGAAAATAATGCACATGTAAATGTACCAACAAAATGCATAAAAGTCAAAATCTGCAAATATGGAAATTGGAGATCTGTATTATAATAAATGCTACAAAACAGAAGAAAAACTTATACCACAGAAGAAAACACTTCATTATTAAATGTTGTCGGTGTACCCACCAGTAAAGGGACTAGAAAGACATGGAAAAATCTGATTTCTAGATACAAGCAAGCATTTGTCTTATCAGCTGCCAAACATCAAAACACAGATCCACTCCCCTATTGAACATATGAATTGTTCTCATTTTATGACATCACTTGGGAAAGACTGAAACAATAGGTCTGTAATAGTTTTCACCCTAGGCCTTCCTGGAGACTAGCTTGTAACCAGGAAGGAACTAGGAAGGTGACCCAGGAAGTATTCTATGCTATTCCTTTACGTAACCTGAGGTATAAATAAGCCAACCAGAGAGACCTTAGCTCTCTTCTCTTCTGGCGAGGTTTGAGAACAGTAGATCCGTACGCGGTCTTGCTTATCTGAAGTTGAGGCCTGTATGGACTGTTGTCGTCTGCCACGTGTGAGGGGAGAGAGCTGGGCAGCATAAAGCTGTCCTGCTTCTCTCAAGGGAAATGGTGAGATTTTACCAGTTCTTTATTTTGCTGGTGTCGTGGTTTGAGAGCCCCAAAATCCAATTCTCGAGTCAAGCTCCCCTCCCACATCTCAGCCCAGTGTGAGATGGGTTTTCCAGACAGCACACGAGACTCAAAATGGGGGGAAAGGGAATATATTACAATGACTGTACTCTGTACAAATGAATATTATAATACATTACACACACAATCTCAACTATCTCTACCATGATAAAGCAGTATTTACAATGGATCAAATCTCTTCTCTCTCCAAATAAAAGTCCAGGAGGGAAGAAGGAAGAGATCCTTTTTTACTTTCAGAGCAGCAGGCTCTCTTCTTTCATGCAGCAGATGTAGCTGGATCTCTGCCAGTACACACGAGGGAGGTATCCAAGCCCCTCTCAGCCCTTCAACTCCAAGAGAGGGTCTTCTCTTCTGTGGGCTGTGTTACAGGGACAAAACTCGCTTCACCACGTCATATCATGGGGTGTAAGACATCCCATGAAGGTCCCTTCCTCAGAGGATTCACCCCTGAGTCAGAACGTCTTGGGCAGCTTTCAGTTGAAGGCCTTTGCCTCAAGAGTTCTACCAGAGCTTCTGTTCTCTGATCTCAGGCTGCTAGCTTAGCTTGGCAGCACCGATGAGGGGGGCCAAGGTCACCCCCTCCACATTCCGTCTGGCTGTCCCCATCCAGCTTTCCAGGACACCTTGAGCTTCTTAGCTCCTCTCTGCAGTGCTGAGGCACTCCACCCCTCCTTTCAAGGAGGGGTCTCCAAAGAGTTTGGGGGGGGGTTTGTTTTCAGTTCTTACCCAAACTCTGTCTCTGTAGAGCTTCGTTCTGCTCTCTCTCTCTCCATTAGAGATCTCTGTGTCTTCCTTGGCTGCATGATGTCTCTGCTACTTCTCTCTTATCTCTTGGCTCTCTGCCACTGTCCTCTGTACGCTGCTGCTTTTGCCGCTGCTCCTGCTGTTGTTTACAGTGGGGAAAAAACTCCCATCTTCTCAGTCACAGACCTCAGTCCAGTTTAACACTGTTTCCTAGTTTCTATGACCCCAGTCGGGGGCTGGGGGGCCGTGGCCCCCCAGAGGGGCTCTTGCCCCTTCAGCTCATGGCTTTCACAACATGACCACTCTCCAACAACAGCTCTCTACCAGATCCACAACTACCCCTCTTTTCCGGTCTGAGTGATATGCTTATATTTTGCAGAAGCACTCATTGGCTCAACCCCAAGGGTCACCAGCCCCTGGAGGTTTACCATTTTATAACTTCAGGGGGAAAACTTTTTTTCCCCCACCACAGTTGGTTACCAGGTTTTTAGATTGTGTACACCTGTTTTGTTTCTGTCCCTTTTCATCCTATTTTGTCCTTTTTCCCTTCTCCCTTCCCCTCCTCCCTTTTAGGAAGCTATTTAGGGTTTCTGGGGTTATAGGTATATAGTATTCTCACTGTATATATCTGTTTTATATGTAAAATACATTTTTGCTATAGCTTTGGCTGTTTGATTTTTTTTTTTCTCCCCTCTCTGGGAAGCAAGGCTCTGTTGTCAAGTTTTGGAGACTTGGTAGGAAGCCAGCTCCAAATTTGCACAAGGTCTCACGGAGTTTAGGTCTGTGAGCAGACAGAGCCTGGTAGATGTACAGCTGCGTATCCACAAATCTAATGTTTACCAACCAGGGAAGTTTTGTCTAGATGTCCTCTAAGTTAACAAAAAAGTATGGCTTCTTCCAGGAGAAAGTTCAGGGCAAGTGTCTAGCCTAAGTTTTCTGAGTCATCTGGGAAATTTCATCTTTTGCTGTTTTCTATAGGTGGATCCTAGGGAAAGCTAATGAGGAAGGATATATGTTTTATGCTTGCTTACTTGCAGTTTAATGTCTACTATGTTCTTTCAGAAAGATAGAGGGCATCTGAGATTAACCTGTATAACAGGTTAATCGTGCCTTTTTTGGGAGGGACTGAGTTTGCTCCACTGAAAGAATATCAGGTAGGGAGGAGGGATCTGGCTTATGGACTGATCTTGATAGTCAAGGAAAAAGGTGATTTAGTGATCTTAGAGGACTTAATAGAGTTGATTGACTCAGGAAGTTACTAAAGGTGCCAATTAGAAAGTCAAGCTGGAAGAAAACTCCTGACTTCACAGCTGTGTCAGGCAGGAGATAGGAGCTTAGAAGTTTTCTCACTGAGAGTGATTGCTTTGCTCTTTCGTCACAACTTTAGAGACTGCTGCAGTGGTCTCCTGAATTATGGAGCATGTCTAACAGTTCTTTAAGTCCTGTCCAGCTTGAGACCCCTTACCACTCCCCAAGCATCTAATTCTTCACTGGACCCTAAAGTTATGGAGCATCAAGTCATAAGCTTGACATTTTGTAAATTTTAGCTTGTTTTCATGCAAATGATTTACCTACATGGATATCTACTGTAATATGGTTCTATATAGTTTCACTCTTGGTTGGCATTATCCTGATGTACAAGTACTTGTGTTTTGAATTTTGTCTTGTGTCCTAGAGGAAACAGCAGAGCATGCATCCAAGTTTATTGTGTCTTTTTTTTTCAAGTCACTCACATAAAATGCAAAGTTGTTACTTTGTTGTTACACTTGCATTCTGATCCCCAAACTATAATTCTCACTTGGTGTTTTAGTCTTTAAGTACCTAGGGGAAGAAAGTCCTATAATCATTGAACACCTACAGACTAAAGCAAATAATATGTCCTAACATATTTAGTGAATATAGTGAAATTTGGTAACTAATTTTGTCTTCTACATCCTTACAAGCAAATGAGACTTTTGAATGCTCAGGCATACATTAAATGATAGTATTCTTTGCTGTGTTCCTTGTGTTCTTATTAAAGAAAATGAAAACACTACTCTTCTAATATTTTTAAATGGATATAATTTTAATATTTCTGATAACATATATAAAAAAAAAAACAAAAAGGAGATTCAAACAAATAAATAAATACATGCTATTTATTAAAGTTTTCTTGGCCTTTATAGTGAGTTTGTTCTTTTCCCATTCCATAAGGCCCAAATTTGAAAATAGTATATAAGATTTTAAATGCTTACATAATCATGGATGCCTGCTAAATCTGACAATATAATTAGCTTGTGTCCTGTTATGGTAGTTTAGTCTAGGCCTTCCTGGGTGACCAGTCTGTAACCAAGGAAGTGCCCAGATTTACCTGGTATTCCCTACGATTTTTACATGAGCCGGGATATAAGAAGAAAAGAGGAAAGGCCTTCGCCCTTCTTTCCTTCCAGCGGCTTTGGAGGTGCAGGTTCCCTGCTGTTGAGTCTGTTGTGTTGGTGAGTGAGGCCTGGTAAGGCCTTGCCGACCTTGGGAGACAGACGTTGCTGGCGGTCATTCCAGCGCAACTTTCTGTTGTCCCAAGGAGAGTAGTAAGATATTCTTTTGCTAATTCTTTTAGTTGCTAAATCTTGAACTATTGATCGTGTATATTTTATTTTGGTTTTGTTCCTTTTTTTTCCTTCCCCCTCCCCCTTCCCTTTCCCTTTTCCTTTTGAAATTGTATATATGTATTTCAATTGTATATAACTGTAATATAAGTGTAAATATATTTATATATATTGCTTTAGCTGTCTCTCTCTTGTTTCGGTTCTCTTGGTTTTTTTTTTCTTTTCCCTTGGTTCAGGAGGCGGGGGGAGTTTTTGTGGCGAGGTTTGGAGACTTGGCAGGGAGCCAGCTTCAAACCATATCACCTGTGGTAGTTTGGACCTGGCTCCCTGCCAGTTCCTCAGGACCACAATGAAAAGGGCTTCCCCCCTCCCTTTCATAAAGGAAAGGGAGAAAGAAAACAAAAGAAATGAAATAACAGAACTAAAGCAATATTTATATATATGTATTTACACTTATATACAATTAAATAAGAAAGAAACTCCCAACACCCCCCAAAAAAAAAAACCAGATATACCTAACTAATAAAGAACTAACAAACCAAAATTTTAATACTTTCCTTAAGAAAATGAAAGCCACTCCACCAAATCTCTCCTCTCTAATCAGAAAAACAACAGGCCTCACAGGCCTCACTCCCACAGGAGCGAGACCGGCCACAGGGAGCCTGCTGTCACCAACTTTGCCAGAAGAGACCTGGCCAACCAACTTCCTCCAACTTCTATTTATATTCCTACTTAAGTAAAGAATAGCATGAAATACTGGAATATAGATACTTTCCTAGTTTCGACCAGGTTGCCAGGAAGAGGCCTAGACCAAACCATTACGTGTCCTTAGAATTAACTCTCATCAATTTATGGCACACTTTTTTATGGGGACCAATGCAAGTATAGGAAGATGGTATTAGGTTAGTGTCCCAGAAAATTTCCAGTTAAAAGGTTTTAATTTTGTTTAAGTCTGTTTCTAGACTATTACATTAAAGACAAGAAGGCAAAAGTATGTTCTGCATAGCCTACATCATCTACATACTAAAAATTGGGGAATGTAAAATCCAAGATTAAGGGAATACATTTACAGAAGGGAATTGATTGTTTTACATTATGAGTTTCTGAGCAGAATCTCTAAGAGAAATTATAAAATAATATAACCATTTTATAAAACACCAGACACTCAGTAGAGAGCCAAAATAGTCTTATACATATATATTTGAGAAATGAAACACTGCTGCACGGATGAAGATAGTGTTTGCTTTTAAGTATTGAATTAAAATTAAGTTGAATTTTTGTTTGCTGTGTTTCATTTGGTTTTGATATTGCCCTTACATTTTAAAGTACTACAATAAGGAATAGAAGCATATGTTTCCAACCTCTTCTCCTTCAAGTGTTTTTCTTTGTTTACTTGGTTGGTTTTTTTATTTGTTTTTTTTTTTCAGGCACTTTCCACAAAAACTGCTCTGAAATGTGCTTCACAATGAGTGTTTTTCCAGTCTGGTGTTAAAAGTTGTAGTTTTGTGTGAAAACTTATCCTACAGATTGTTATGGACAAATGTAAGCAAAAAGTGTTTTGGAACTTCTTACAATGCTCCAAAAAAGAGT